ATAGTAGTTACTTGGCCCAAAACCCCAAGAATTTATAACTCAAATTCATGTAAAACTACAGTTTATCTTTGTTAAAGAAGCAAGGGCAAACATTCCACCATAACTCTGAATATTTCCAGTGCTTCCCCACTGTTCTCTCACTGGACAGATGGGTAATACCCTTAGTGAATGAGGTCAGGCCTTTAAATTCAAGGGCAAACGAGTCTGGGGGATGAACCCACGGCAGTGAGTGTGTGTGTGTGTGTGTGACACATCATTAGCTGAGTCATTCTGTGCTGTCAGTTTTGGCATAAGCCACCATATTTCACTTAGAAATCTGGCTATTAATTCCATTACAGTCATTAAGTCTGTCTTTCAGAAGGGTGCTTTGTCATCAAAACAGCCGGTTTCATTACAATGTGAAATGACTGAGATGCAAATACACTCGATGAGTCGAAAGTGATTTCCTTAGAAATGGCAGCTCTTGATCCTCAAGTCAAAGCCAGTTCATCTTTAAAGATACAGTGACAGAAAGGAGAAAATGCCGCCGAAAAATGTCACACAGAAAAAAATCTGATTTTACGATGCAAAGATTAAAGAGCAGCAACTCTAAAAGTTGCCGTTTTTCTATTTGCACTGACGGGCTTGTCATATTAGCCCAAGTGTTAAACGAGGACGCACAGCTGATAATAAAAAAAATACATGGACAATAATTCAAACACTGACAGGCTGAGAACATTGCAACCCTCAAACAGTAAGACATCACTGACAAGGACTGAAATTATGTCTCGAGGGATTCAAGTAATTAGTGTAATGTGATATCAGTAATAAAGGTAATAAACTTTCAGTCTGACAGCAGCCATGCCACTGAGCCATGCAGGTAGCCTTTATGTTTAGTTGTAACTTGCCCTGTAACCTTGGCTACCACAAAGTGCCAGCCACCTGCAATGCAAGTAAAACACAAGGTTTAGGACTCCTGCTGATGGGAATCAATATCTGTCAGTGGAACAAGAGTGCCATTATGTCAGTGACATATCCCTAACATGTACCGATAAAACTGTTCTGCCCTAAAGTCCTTTCTACTGTTTTAGTGCAAAGAAAAATCTTCAATTTAAAAAATCTTTCACATTTCCTTTTTTTTTTTTAAAGCTGCTTTTGAATTATTCACTGTGGTCGTACAGGTTACAAGTCATGCTTGTGGGTAACAAAGTCATCCCATGTCCTGTTGGAAATACTTTGGACGGCTCTCTGTTTGCTATCATTTAGTGTGAAAAACCATTTCTCCTTTGATAAGTGTTGCAGTTACCCTCCGTAAGGAGAAGAGCACTTCATCAACAGCTTTCCAGAATTGAATCATTGTTCTTGGCAGTGAGAGGAACAAATAATCTGTGACAAATACTTTGTCCATCAACTTTGTTTTTAACGCTTCAGTCTTTGAGTGCAAAAATATCCAGATTGGCATTTTCCCAATAGATTTGGTCTAATAATTAGCATTAGCTTTTTTGTTTAATTATAATCAATTTGGAATAAAGAAAGGACAAGATAGTGTTCTCAGTGCGCTGTGGTGAATATAGTTCAATGCATGATTTCCCCCCAAAGGCAACCAAAAAACATGATGAAGAGTAGCTATGATATCCACCGAGATTTACTTTGGTTGACTGCAGCCTGAAAGTGAGTAATTCATTATTCGTGGATCAAGCTGCATGATCCAATATGGGATTCAAGTAAAGATGCATCTGAAGTGTGTATGTGTTAGGAAGTTTGCCCACCTTGTCTGGCCTCTTCTTCCAACAGGTCTGTGTGCAGAGCCAGGTACCTCTCCTCATCGCACAGCGCCTCGATCCTGGCCTCCTCCTCTGATAGCTGGTAGGACGTATTCCATGACCCGCTGTCATACTCTGAAAGATCATGTAAGTGACCACGCCCATCGTATCTGTTGGATAATAAAAAGGATTAGAGAGCAAGAATTCGACAAGTTTTTTTTCACACAACCTGGACCTACTTACCAATGAAAGAAAACCTATAACCCAAAATTTACAACTAAATTGTTCTACCTCTAGTCTGTCATGAGAGAGTATGTTTGTTAAATACTTGAAGTTATGAAAATTTCTCAAAATACTGATTAAGCCATTGGGCTTACATGTCAATAGCGAACTTAAGATACCTAACAAAAGTTCTGCAGGAACCTTAGAAAGAAAAACAAAAAAAGGAACTCGCTTCTTACCTTACAGGGTTCAACCACCCCCCTGTAACACTCATCATTACTTCTACATCTGCAAAGATAGTTACATTCACACAAACCCGAGCACATAAATACCTATCCGTAAGAACCCAAATGGACGACATTTTCCAGGGTTCGTCCCTCTACGCCACTTCCCAGTTGCAGTTTCTTCAGGAAGACAAAGAAATGGGGTGCTGTGGTTGGCATTCGGGGTTTGGCAGGACCCCTTAGCCTACCTTGCTGGGGAAAAACTGGGTTATGTGATAAAGACACACATACAAAAGCTGTACAAATAAAACACAAGTTGGGGTCACTGCGGATTAAGGTGATTCAAAAGAACAGAGGCACTAATCTGATGTTTGGAAAATGTATTAAATATTCTGCATGGGTGTAACATTACCCCACTGGTTCCCTCTGTGTCAGATCATTATACTTTTGGGCCGCACTCCCAGATGTTAATATGGCACACTGGTTTGATCACATGAGAGAGCAATGGACACAAATTTAACATGTGTCAGATTGAATTCAGGGGAGATATAAAATACAAATTTGAACTTTTTGGGGGGGGGGACTCTGTAACTATAACTAAACAAATCTCCCTCAGTATAGGTAACACTATTTCCCAGCTCTATATCAGTCTGAAAAAGGTGCAGTAACACAAGTAGAATGAAATGCATTAGAAGGGACATGTATATCCTGCATGCACTGTGTATACTCAAATCAGTCAATGCTAATGCCACTTCAGAATGACTTCTTCATGGTGTCATTTATAACATGATGAATGACTGATTTATCTAAATAAGATANTTCCAAATGTTTCTCATGTTACCAAATCAGAATGTCAATTTGTAGTAATACCTGTGGGAGTGTGGCCCCGAAAGTCTTTGATTTGACAAGAATTACTCCTTTAGTTAATAAGTTTACATCAGCACAGTGATATTTTGAATCACCTTAACAGCAGTGACTTTAGTCTTGGTTAGAATTTGCTCTGGTCTCATGGACTTCAGTGCAGCTTAATGAAATCCCAGGTGATTCAATTTGAATACACGTTCCTATTTTAGATCAAATTAGAGAGTTTGTCAACTTTGTTGCAACTAATTGTTTCTTGTCTTATTCTTCAACTCCAAAATGTGTCTCCAGAGGAAATTCTCCAGCATGCCAAGATGCAAAGCCCACCTCAAAGCTAACATCCAAAGATTTAAGGATTATGACATTTAAATCTCAAATTTAAAAACTAAAATGCCAATTTAAGAAGCATCTTAGTATCAGCATTGCTAGTTTTAAGCTAGTGTGGCAATTAAGGGTCAGACTGACCGCTCAGCATCGTGGCTAGTGTTAGCAGAGAGTGGCTAGGTTTTGCATGTTCGCATGTTGTGCCAGCAACTTCAGACTCCACGTGTTGTGAATTCAGGACGTCCAAAGACAAGTTAGCAGAACAAGAAATAAAACATTCGTCGACAGGTTGCAGTTTTGTTTTCTTGCATCTCAAGCTTCTGCAAAACAAAAACTCCCAAGTGGTCCCTTTGCATTGTGAGACAGGCTAACGGACAGGAGAGATGGTTAGCATAATGTTTCGGTCTACGTTTGTTCAACCGACCTATCAATCGTGATGCTCTTGTCCCCCATCCACGGGATGAGCTGTTTTCCATGTTCGTGGTACAGAGCCCTGTCGTCGTCTCGGAACACTTTGCAGGCGTAGCCGAACACCAAGAGGTCGGCGTATTTATCACTGTCACTCACGTCCTTCTTCGCAGGCTTGTTGTTGGGGTCTTTCTTGGCGGCTCCGCGACGATACATCTCCCGGAAACTCGTGAAAGCCAAGTATATCGAGGTGCGGGATCCCACTGACGCTGTAGTGATGGTTCTGGAAACCAAGCAGCTCGCAGGTGATCCTTAAATGACGATAATCCGTTAGGTTATCCTGAAAAACAAGCTCCTACGTGCCAGCGGCCGCCATGTTGGAAAGCGAGTAGATGCATCTGTGTTTCCGGTTCGCACTGACGACAGATTCCTCAGCTTTAATAAAACATTTCTTTAAACCACAGTGTGTCATTCATAGATTTAAAACCATGTGATGTTTTGATTCATTGACATATTTTATTAAAAACAGACAATCTCCACGTGAGTCGTGTTTTTGCCATAGACTGGTTTTTGCCCACGTTTTCATATCTGTCGAATGTGCTGGAGTGAATCGAATTTACAGTGTGCAGTTAAAACTGGACTGAAGAGGTGACCCAAGTTTATAAAATAAAATAAATTAATGAATTAGCTGTGTTGAGGGTCAAACAGGAGAGGATGGACAAAGGTAATGATGAATAAGCTTTATTGTTTTACATTTTTGAACAGAGTTCCTAAATGCTGCTGATATTTTTAAACATGTATTAAAACCCCAGCTTTTATGCAGTGCTTTATTTATTTTCATTCACTTTTAATGATTGTTTTCTTAACTTTCTTTTATTTTTGTGTGTTCTTCTGTTGATTGCTTCGTTGTGCATTAGTATCTCTAGAGCTATCATTCAATTTTAACATCCTGCGTTTTGTAAAATCACCTCTGAAGCTCTTTATTGCCTTTTTATTTCTTTGAAAGATGCTAAATAAGTAAAGTTTGGTTGATTGACTGATTGATGCGTTTCCCAGGACAGACAGCAATTTTTGGAGAAGGCAAAGTGGACAATGTCAGAGCTGTAGGTCATGTGACAATCCTGCGTGAGCAAGGAAAGACAGAGTCATTATGAGCCTCTCCATGTATAAAACTCCTAACTCAGTGTGCAGCCTATTTTCAGTGTTCTTATGTAGGTTACACAAGGACTAAACAAGAAGCTCAGGTACAGAAGACAATCTAATGAGGTAAAATGCATTTTAATTCTATGATGTCAAATTCAAGAATGTTTTAAAAACTATTTTCACACACAGATGATATACAGTAAGAGAATGAACAGCATCCTTGTGAAATATTCCAGGAGAATAAGTCTTTTTGTGGTTTATTACAGACTTTCAGGGAACATTAAAACGCAATACATTACTGTCTGATGCACCATTGAGCAGTTTTAAATGGAGGAAATGGACTGTGAGGTTTTAAAACTTCTATTAAAAAAAGAGCTATAAAGTAAGAATCTGTATTTTCTTGACTTGAAGCCCTTGCCTTTGAGGCCTAAACCCATGAATCAGGTCACGGTCAGGTACACAGCACATTACTGCATGCTTGGAAATGGTTTTTAGATAATACAGGGCACTTTTTTTAATCCTTAGTTTGGAAGATTATTTCAGCATTTGGGAGGAAAAAAGATACGAGTGGGTGATGGAGCAGTGAGGAAAAGGCGAATCAGCTTTCTCTGACTGTTGAAGAGCAGCGAGATTTGATAATGCAAACTAAATGTTTTTTCGAAAAGAGAATCTTTGACTGTGCAGAGAAAAGTGACCTTAAAAACAAACACCTTGCAGAAGTGGATTTGTATGACAGAGATGGATATAGAAAAGTTCTAGATTTGCTGAGCAGTGATTTAGTTGTGTTCCTCCATCTGGTTTTTATAATTAAGTTTAATTTCCAATTTTATTTTTAGACAAATAAACTTAGATCAATAAAAATAGCGTTCCCAGTCCTGCTTCTTTTTAAGTTTACCTCTGTAGCGGTGTTCTCTTCCACAAATGTAGCAGGACAGATGGTGGAATGGAAGTAGCCACTGTCAATTGTTTTCTCTGATGACGGCACTGTGGCCAAAAATATTTTGGAATGAATAGAAACTGGAGAGAACTTGATCGGACCATGGTTTCCTGATATGATTTAGATGGAATTACTTTTGCTCTGTTCTCTCATTTGCAAAAAGCTATTAAAGCCACCCATTTATTCACATGTAGTCAATATGTATGTGGTCCACAAAAATTGAATGGAAATTGGTTAGTAAATTTTACATAATCCAGCAAACGCTGATGAAAACATGACCTACATGCAGAAATAATGATGCAAGATATTTGTTATCTCCCAAACAATGGCTGTGATGATAAATTATTCATAGACTTGAATCTGAGTAACTCTTTAAGCCTAATGAAATACACAGCTGACCTGGTGCACTACAGTAGCACACAGGACAGAAGAGAAGGATTGTTGCTTTTACCCTCCACAAACACCCCCACCTCACCAATTCTTTTCTTTACAACCCCTGAATGTGTTTTATTAAAATGTGTGCACAGGTTCAGACGAACACACTTATGAAAGCAGAGGGTGAAAGAAGCAGAGCAGAGAGCAAGAGAGATCGAGAAATAAGAGCATGAAGTCAATTGTTTGTCGTCCTGGGAGGGAAACATCAGTGTGTACTGTAAAAATAAAGAGTGTATCCATGTGGAATGTTGATATGCAAAATGCTCACAGCTATAATTAGAACTTCTTACATACAGTATAGGAATAAAGGCTAATTGATTGTTTTGGTTCTCTTGAGTTTAGAAATTGCATATTTTTCTCAAAGAATACCATATTTTTGTTTTTGCTTGAGCACCAATTAAAAGGCTGCAAGTTTTGCAGAACTAGACTTTTTATGTTTACATGTACATTTACCCTATGAACTTTGACTCTGAACCTGGGCTGATACTGGAGAAGTTACACTGGGTTTTCCTTCATAATTGTTTTTGCATTAAGCCACCCTTAATTCCCAGATTGTAATTTAATACACTTTAATGTATTAATGTGGATAATTGAATGTCTCACTTCCTTCTATAAAATATTTATAATATTTTCAAATTTGTTTTAATAAACTGGTTTTCGTTCTCTAACACACTTTTTGCGATTGGCTTGTCTAAATAAAGACATATTTGTCTGAGTAAGTGTTTTAGAAAGCATCACTCACTCCATTGTTTCTAGTTAAAACCTGTGGTACAATCAAAAAGCAAGGAGTTATTTTAAGATTTCAGGATCCTGCCAAGCTGCTCTTCTTTATAGTCAGTGAACAAGGGCCTGGATAACAAGGCTTTGCAGTGCGTCAATGGTGAGAAGAGGGAATTCAAAAGAAAATGTCTCAGATATTCTCTTTACAGCTCGTATTATTTCCTGAAATGATTCTGTCAAAAGATGTCTACATTATACATTTTTTCATTCTGCCCCAGTATTCTTACTGAAGACAGAAACAGGGTCAGACAGCGGTCCATTACTTTGACCATTAAAATTATTGGATTTATTATAAAACATCTCCTGCTTAATCGCAAATAGAACTTTTGGCTTCATCCTGCATTTAGACGGAACCTTCAATTCTACGTCAATGTCACTGACGTGTCCTGAACATTTTACAAGATGCCTCAGCAATCAGCTCAGAATCAGGACACGAGGAAACTGTGAATGCTCCGAGTCTATTCTTTGATCTCGCTGAATATTTTCTCTGAGAGGATTAAACTGTCATATTAGATAGATTTGGCTCCGTGGAAAATAATATAAATCTTCCACTTTCCCACAGGGAGATCCAAAACCTTTTGCATCAAGCGACTACACAGCGGAGTGGCTGAAAAATGCAAATCTCTCCACGTTTAGACACTTTGTTTTTCTGTGTTATGCTTCACACGATATGTCAAAACTCACAAATGCAACAGGAAAGGAAAAATTTACTCTGCTGCATAAAATGACTCTTTATGAAATTTGAATTTGTGCATCCGGCGGTGTGTTGAACAAATTCTAAGCATGGATTGTTTTTATTGACACAGTGATCGTAGGTGACTGCTGAGAGCTCAGCTGGCTTTTCTCTTTCTTAACAGTCAGATGTCACTGTTCCAAATGAGTCTTCCAGTTTCCTTACCTGCCTCTTGCATTATCACACACTCACGTCAAGTCTGTGGTATAAATCCAGGCGATCCGTCCTGTGACTGACAGGTTGGACAGGACGTGAGCCAACAAGGACAAATGTCTCCGTGTCGCAGCTGTCACTGTTTGTATTTGGGAGCGTGACAAGTCAAGTCGGATCATACTGCACAGAGACGAGTGGATTTATTGGGATTTGTTAGCAGCCTAATGGGACCCCTGGGCTTTTACCATTATTTCACACAGAGCAAACCTTTCCAGGTGCAGGTTAAACAAAGTGTGAAATTAACACATGAATATTCATGTTTCTCTCCTCAGAATGTTTTTCGTGATTGTTTAGAGGAGATATTTTGAGCTTTCCACCTAAAGGGGTTGTTTATCGACTTTGTTGTTTGTGAGTGATTGTCATACTGAAAGACAGATGATAGATTTGTATTGGTCTTCAAAGTGTTTATGACTTGACCTACAGTAATTCAGGATGCACACAAATACACAGAAGGTGGAGGGTATATAAATATATACAACTGATGAGTT